TTTATCTCCTTTAACTTATTTTGTTATCGTTTTTCATTATTCCAATCAGATTTTTTTGTTTGTTTGTAATTTTGAGGCATATATCCAGTTAAGCTTTACTAAGGAATTATTATAACATGGTTATACACTTTGTCACAGTATGTACTTAGGCCAAATATAACACACACATGAGAGTCATAAAATTTTTGATCTGAGAAAGACCATAGCATTCATGTAGTTTAAAACCCTATTTTTTTCTGATGAAAACGTTACTTTCCTACATGAGATTTGAAGTACTAAAAAACAGGAGAATTCTGCAAAGTAAATTCTTATTCTAACTGTATCTTAACATTTGTTTTCTAATGGTATAGGACCTGGCCATGAAATAAAAAAATTAATACATCAGAAGGAAGAAGTTTTGCTCTAAAAGAAGAAAGAGCAGTGGAGTGAATTATTTGGACATGTGGGCAAATTTTTCTTCTGGGAGTAATTGGAAAGCTTGAAGTATATAAAGATTCCAAATTAATAGTTACCCAGAATATTACTAATCTTCTTCACAAAGTGATTAATGATTAATTAGTTCAGTGGGCTATCCTGCTATATCAGTGGAATTCAAAGCTATAGGGCTCCGTGGTGGCATTTACAGTTGCAGTTACCATTAGGTAAAAAAGACACATACCTACTGTATAATCTAATCTCTGTAGAATCTGGTGTAGTGTCATATTTGAATATATATATTTGAGTTTTTGGCTTTTGTATAGAGAAGAAGAAAAGTTAATTTACTACAAATATTTATCAGAATTATATATAGTATATACAGTGTACACATACAAAATTAGATATACAGATAAAGCTGTACAGCCCTGAGCTCTTAAATAGTTAATGACTTGATTCTTACCTAGAGTTCTGGTAATTCTGAATCCTGTTCTTTAGTGACTTAAGTACACTACTTTTATGATTCTGTTATTTTATTCCTTGAGTTGTCTGGATACCTTCATTTTCTTGTCTTTGCTCTGCTGCTATTTCTTCTGAAAACTTAACCAAGGAAAGAATTTATAAAATTCCTTACTTAGTTCAATATATATTCATGCATTTTTTGAGTGTCAACAATGTGCCAGGCATCGTTCTAGATGTTGGGAATAGTGCAATAGCAGTGGAAACACACAGTCTCTTGTTACACAAATTTTATATACTAGGAGGGAGACAGGAAAGATATAAGTCAGGATTAAAGGATAAAGAATGGTAGGAGCAGTTGTGTGTGTTTGCTTTTTTAGACAGAGTGATCAGAGAAGATCTCTCTGATAGATGATATTTCAGCGAAGACACCTCTGAATGAATCTAAGGAGCTAGCCATCCATGTCTAACCAAAATCAAACCCACTGCCACTGAGACGATTCCAACTCAGAGTGAACCCCATAGGGTATCCAGGGGTATAAATCTTTACGGAAGGAGACTGCCTCATCCTTCTCCTGCAGAGCAGCTTGTGGTTTTAAACCACTGACCTTTCAATTAGCAGCCCTTAACCATAGTCCCACCAGGCTCCTAGCCATGCTCATTATCTGGGGAAAAAAATTTTGAGAAATTAAAGGGATCTGAAGGTGAAGTGTGCTAGTCGTATTTGAAGAACAGCATGGGCAAAGCAGAGAAACCTCTAGGCAGGAGTGATAGTAACTATGGGGCCTTTTAGGACATTTGTAGGACTTTAGCTTTTACTCGATGGACAGGAACCCATTAAAAGTTTTGAGTAAACCCAAAACCCACTACCGCTGAGTTGATTCTGACTCATAGCGACTCTATAGGACAGAGTAGAACTGCTCCAAAGGGTTTCCAAGGCTGCAAATCTTTACGGAAGCAAACTGCCACTTCTTTCTCCTGCAGAACAGCTTGTGGATTTGAAATGCCCACTGACTTTCTGCTTAGCAGCTGAATGCCTTTACCCACTGCACAACCAAAGCTCCTTAAAGGTGTTGAGTAGATGAATGATGATATTCTCTGACTTACTCTGAAAAGCATCATTCTGGCTACTGTGTGGAGAGTAAGTTGTAGGCAACTAGGGTAAAAGCAGGCCTGCTAGGCTAAGCAGGAGTCTAGGTGAGACATGAATAGTTGGACTGATAAAGATGAAGTCAGATTCTTTATACATTCAAGGTAAATCCAACAGAATTTTTGTGTCTTTGATGTTGGGAATGAGACAAAGAACGAAGTCAAGGCTGACTAAATTTTGGCTTTCTCCTGAGACTAATACTCCTGAGAGTATTAGAGCTCTTTTTCAGCCTTAAGCGTTTCTGATTTTAATTTTAATAATTCTGTTTTCAGTGTTCTCTTGATTCTCTGATATTTTTTATCTACCTACAGGGTGTTGTGTTGTGGGAGCTCTGGTAGCATAGTGGCTAAGACACTTGCCTGCTAACCAGACGGCTGGCGGTTCAAACCCACCAGCCACTCCTCGGAAGGAAGGTTGGGCAATCCTACTTCCGTAGTGATACTGCCTTGGAAACCCAAGGAGGGGTCGCTATGAGTCAGGTTTGACTCGACGGCACATAACAACAACAACAACAACAGGGTGTTGTTGTTATGTGATGTTAAGTCGGACCCGACTCATAACGGTCCATCCTTGGGTTTCTGAGGCAGTATCACTATGGAAGTAGATTGCCCAGCCTTCCTTCCGAGGAGTGGTTGGTGGGTTTGAACCGCCAGCCTTCTGGTTAGCACTCAAGTGCCTTAGGTACTACACTACCAGAGCTCTCTATATATTATTATATTCAAATAAATACATAAAATATTCTTGTTTTTCACCATAAAGTCATCTTTTATAGTAATTAAAACCATAGAGAATTTTGAGTACATGCCATATACTGTTTTTATTTAGTCAGATCATCATATTACTGATACTGGCCATTTATCATGAAAGGGACTAGAAGAAGTGGTCCAAAGAAATGATAGGGACTAGTTCTCTGGTAGCATAGTGACGGAGGCACTTGACTGCTAAACAGAAGGCTGGCAGTTCAAACCCACCAGCCACTCTTCGGAAGGAAGGTTGAGCAATCTACTTCCGTAGTGATAACTGCCTTGGAAGTCCAGGGAGGGGTTGCTTTGAGTCGAGTCCAACTCGAGGGCACATAACAACAACAGCAGCGAGTCCTCTGGGGAGCCCTGGTGGTGCAATGAGTAAGCGCTCACAGTGGTTAAGCACTCAACTGGTAACCGAAAGTTTTATGGTTCAAACCCACCAGCTTAACAGCAAAGGATTTTGGTTTTAGTCCTTTGGGTCTAGGAACTTGCATAGCTGAGTAGCTAGAATAGCCCATTGTTATTCAGGAACCCTGGGTCCTAGTGCTACTTTCTCTGCCACGAGCTAGCTTGATAACCTTGGCAGTTAAATGCCAGTTACTCTTTTCCGTTTCTATACAAGGAAAGGGGCTGGAACAAAATATGATCTTTTATTTCTCCTTAACTTGAAAATCTAGTGATTTTATGTTAAATTCAGCACCCCACAAAAAGCATGTAAGACTAGATGGTACGTTGATATTCAGAACTGGAATTCTGCTCTTAAGATATTTTTATAGTTCTCATTCCAGGATGGTCCCTAATACGTTCTCTATTTCCACGGTGAAAACTTTCATAGTCTTTCGTGCTACTTATTAAACCAACTGTTTTTGGTTGGTATTCTACTTACTTGTTTTCAAATGTTTCTAGTAGGATCACATTCTTTTCTCAAAACCCTATTTTCCTACCACCTAAAGATCTTTTTTTATGGTTATTTACATATACCTGAAAGTTAATTTTTTATTCTTGTACCTCTAAAAATGTTTATGCAAGTTTTTCTCCCAAAGAAAAAGAGTATTGGTTAAATGGTTATAATATTGTGACTAGAAGATGGGTTGTATTAGAGAAATGTGATATACTACATATTGTTGTTAAGTGTCATGGAGTCAGTTTCAACTCATAGTGACCCCATGTGACAGAGTATAACAGCCCCATAGTGTGTCCTAGGCTGTAATCTTTACGGGAGCAGATTGCCAGGTCTTTTCTGCCATGGAGCCACTGAGTGGCTTCAAACCGCCAACCTTTCAGTTAGCAACAAAGTGCTTAACTGTTGCACCACCAGGACTGCAGCTGCTAACTGAAAGGAGTCTGTATGTGTCAGAATTGATTAGAAAACAAACAGCAACAAAGTTTATAACATTGAGCTAATTTAGTGTTAAACTTTTACTCTTTATCCACAAAGTTCTTTAATCTTTTTAAGCATACTGTTGTTACGGAGGTTTATTTATTTATTTGATTTTTTTAAAAGAAAAAACCCTTTAAAATATAGCTTTAAAATAAAAAAAACAAACTCACTGCCATTGATTTGATTCTGACTCATAGCGACCCCCATTGGGTTTCTGAGGCAGTAGATCTTTATGGAAGTAGATTGCCCCATCTTCCTTCTGTGGAGTGGCTGGTGGGTTTGAAATGCCAACCTTCTGGTTAGCAGTCAAATGCCTTAGGCACTGTACCACCAGAGATCCTTAAAATAGTTTTAGATTTATGCTATTTTTAGAAGTTAACATGAAAAACACATTTTTATGTTTACTTAAAGAATGACTTATTAACAGTTGCTAAATACTTTAGAAATTTTACATGTAAGTTATTTATGATAATGTTAGTAATACATAGTATATAGTGTATTAAGATATTAAGATATATAGTCAGAGGGAAAACAACTTCAATGTATATGTCAAAATGATCTATACTGTTGTATTTTTGGATACATCTCACTGAAATACCTTAAGATTTCCTTAGGTCTGTGGTAGTGAAAATAGAATGATGCCTTTTAATACTCAGGGTGCAAAGAATGTTTCTCATTTATAGTTATCCAGCAACCTATTGCAGGAAGCATGCTATTATTTGCGGTGTTGATATGAATATTTTCTAAATTGTGTATTATCTGTATTCCGTAGCTTTTTATTTTAAAAAAAGAAACACAGTAAATGGCTGTTTGCTTATTCTGACTTATTTTTCCCCACTCCTCTTTTTAGGCTTCTCTACAGTCTAGCCTTTAATGCCAGATTCCTGAGACATCTTTGGTTTTTAATATCATCTATGACAACACGAATGATCACAGGGTATGTGTTGTATAGACTTATAAATTAAGCTTAAAGGCATGAAAAGTGGTAGCCTAATTAAAAAAAATTGTAAGCTTTTTTAAGTGCTTTTCCTACTTAGTTTGTTTCATATTAGAAGAAAATTTCTAGATAGTCTCAATTCCACAAAAAAGAAAACGCCTAATTTTACAAATACTTACATGTGTATATTAAGACTATGGCTTTATCTGAATGTAAATTTGTTTAAAAATTCTAGCCATTTTAAAAAACTCAGGCACTTGAAATTTTTTTCTTTATGACTTTCATCTTTTTTTATATAGTAAAATATAGATTTGAAATGTATTTAGTATCATTGCAAACTTAAAACCAGTAAAATACTGTAGACCTTGGCTTTTTTAAAAAAAAACTTTTGTTGACTACTTTGATTTCTCATGTATGAGTTATTTTGTAATTTAAAGGCTAGAGTCTTTAATCTATACATTATAATTGAATGTGTAATAGGCAGAGAATTTCATATTGAAGAATCTTTCATGATAAACTGACTTAAGCCCATTACTATGTTGTTGAAGTTACTCTCTGTCAGAAGTCTAAGCTAATCCATATTTAATATGAAAAAATGACATGTGTCACTCAGTTAAGTGAAGACTGAACTCCCAAAAAGCAATTCGTAATGTGCTAACTATAATAATAACAGCAGTCACCATTATTGACTACTGTGAACCTTGTTATCTCATGAAGTAAAGGTGTGTTAAGGACTAATAGTTTGGAAGGTGGAGTTTGTCTGTTGTTGTTTTTATACACAAAAGGTTGGAAGAAATAATGTTTTCTGAGTTTTTTTTTTTTTTTTTTTGGCGGGAGAGAGGAATTTAAATATGCATTCATCTGCATTCTACTTTGGTTTTGGACATGTTAATGAAACAAAAATTTTATGTTGGAATTTCTAGATCTTGAGCTTTTCAGTAGAGAAAAAGATCATCACATTTTATAATTATTTTATAGACTGGTAAAGTTATATATACTTTTAAAAACTCATTTCTTAAAAGGCAATTTAAAGAGTTTTGAGTTTCTTTGTGCTTGTTTAATTTATTAAAATATTTTCTCAGTCATAGTCAACTGCTTTGCAAATGGAACTGATAGTTATATGTATAGTCATACGTACAAAACTCTTCTTACTAATGGAAGGGCAATAGCAGTTTGTTAACAACATTACACTGAGTTACTGTCATAATTTTTTTTTCTTTTTTCATTTAATCTTTAATGAATTTTAAGTGAGTAAAGGGAGTTTTATTGATGACACTGCAACTTAACTAATGAAGCTCCTGAAGTTTAAGTGATAATCTTATATCAACAAGTGAATGGTAGAAGTAGAGATACGAGAGAAACTTAGAATCCCTTAATGCCTAGAAAAATTCTTTTCTATTCTTTTATTTTCAAATTAAAATGTAGGATTTTAGGTGGTTGTTTTGTTTTTACATTTGAGCCGCTTATGAATGTGCCAATCTTGGCTTCCACATATGACAGGTTTACTTAGGGCAAAGGGAGATTGGGAATCATTAGGACAGGAAATTATCATTTGCCTGAGAGTGTCCCAGCTTAGCAACAGAGATACTGTCATAGTTCTGCCTGATAATTGCTTATTTGTTTATGGCATTTGTCTTGTGGTGAGGAAATGGAGTCATGATGTGTGAAAGAAAAATAGGATATTATTAATTAAATTGTTAATATTATTTTATAAGTTGATAACATTTTACAAATTTTTAAAAATCATTTCTTAAAAGGCAGTTTGAAAATCTGAGTTCCTTTGTACTTGTTTATTTTAAGAGTTTATATTAAGTAATCATAATTAAAATTAAGTGAATAATATAGATCAAAACACACTGGGATATGATTCATTTTTTAAAAAGATCTCTAATGTTCTTTTGTTTATCCAATCAGTAAATATTTATTGAATCCTACAATGTTCAAGGTATAGTTTTAGGTACTAGGAATACCACTGAATAAAGTCCCTCAAAAAGTTTACAATGCATTAATACAATCCTAATATCTCATCATGTTTACTATCAGGAATGTAATTTAAAATGAAATGCCTTATTTCCTGGAAATGACATTGAGTTTAATTTGAAAATAGTTTGATTACAAGACTTGCATAGTGGGGACTCTTAAGCTTTAGTGAACATAAAGATCATCAGAGGAGCATGTTAAAATGCATGTTCTCTTTTTATATTCCAGAGATTTTGATTCAGTGGATCTAGGCTAGAAATCTAGGAATCTGCCTACTTAATAAGCAGGTCAGGTGATTTTGATACAAATAGTTTGTGGACCGTAACTAAAAAAAACTGTCTGTTCCTTGCCCCAGTCAAGCAGGACTATAAATTAAGACAGTTTCCAAATAGATGTTTAGCAACTTTTTTCAGTACCTCAGGCATCTTTCAAATAATAATTCAATTCATGTATGAAGTTCTTAATATTTGCTATTGAAATCAGCCAATTTCCTTTTTGCTGAAAATGAAGAAACAAATAGCCAGTTTTCAATTAGATGCTCCATTACCAAAACGTGATGTATGTTTTGTCTGTCTGTCATCTGCCTGTTCAATGAGTACCATAGTTATTTAGTTAGTCCTTTTGACTCCTAGGCTCACATTGTTATTATTGTCTTTAACTGAATAGAAGATGTTTCATTTAAGCTTTGGATGGATAGAACCATAGGCAAATATATTGATCATTCCTGCTAATTAAATTTTCTATTGTTAATGTGAATATGATTAATTCCTGTTGCTTACTTTGAAGAGGTTTAGAGAGAACAAATAAATTAATGTTGGTTAATTGCCAGAATGTTTTTTAGGGAATTGTATATAAGGGTTTTGTGCATACTGGTATGTTTGTACATAACAGATGGTTGTTATGATGAGATGGTGATAATGATTTTAAATACAGGGATTATCTACAAGAATAACAAGAGAAAGTTGGTTTATCACTTTTTTAAGATTCAAGAAACAACACTTTCTTCACATTGCAACTGGTTAACTGTACCTGTACCATGCAACAAAAATGTTCCCTTAAATAGTATTGTTCATGAATATTATCTACTATGTTTGTAGTTCTACATTTAGTGGCAAGGGAACTGAAAATAGGTGCGAACTGTTATTTTTACTAGTATCAACAACACATATGACATTAAACATTTTTTTTCTGTATGTCAGCAAAGTTTTTACTGACTACTTCTGTGTCGATGGTCCAGTACTAGACTTGGTGGGGAGTATCTCAGAAAATAGAAGAGGGTTCCTGTTCTCACAGGGCTTGGCAGTTTAAAAGAAGCAACTGTTGTACAGTTAAGGCACCCCCATGCCTCTTTTATTCTTCATATAGACAACATTTTTCTGTCATGCTGCTGACTTTGGCACTGAGTTAGGACAGTTGTACTTTGTCCTCCCCCACCCCTTTTTTTTAAATTGTGATTTGGGTGAAAGTTTACAGAGCAAATTCACTTTCTGTACAGCAGTTTGCATACAATTTGTCTCATGACATGACTACAGTTTACCACAGTGCAACAGCTCCCCTCCCACTTCCTCTCCATAGTTACCTCTTCTTTGTGTCCTTTCCTCCATGCACTCCTGCCCCTGAGCTGTCTCTCTGTGCATACACAGCCCTTTTGTTCTCCCTTTATTGTTCTCTTCAAAGAGTGTATCTACCTAAATTAAATGTTCAGCTCATATGCCTGCCTTTTGTTTGGCTAAAAGCCACCGGGTTGAGTTCAGTTCCAGACCTGAATGGCAACTGGGGCTATAGTCTCACTCAGTGGTTCCATCTGGCTCTATCAGACCAGCAAACCTGGTCCCTTTTTTTTCCCCCAAAATAATTTTGAGTTTTAATCCACATTGTTCTCCTACTCTATCCAGGATCTCCTACATAGATTCTCCTCTGAGTGGTTGACACTGGTAGCCGGACACCATTACTTCTTCTGGTCTCATAGTCATACAGGCTGAGGATCGCATGGTGTACCAGTTGATTGGACTAATTGTTTCCGTGAATCTTTGGTTTTCTTCTTTCTTCTTTGCTTTGGACAAGGAGAGACCCACTGTTGCACCTTGATGGCTACGTACAAGCTTTAAGATCCCAGTTGCTGCTCACCAAAGTTTGTGTAGTATGTTATGCCAATTGAGCTTGATGTCCCCTGGGACTATGGTCCCGAGCCTACGGGTCCAACTTCTTGCTCCCTCTGGGTAGCTGGCTATGCCCAAGAAGTGACTACAGCCTTGCCCTTGTCAGCTCTACTATATACCTGGGAATTCTTACAGAACATTGCAATACATTTGTAGAAACACTGTCTGCCAACCTATACATGGTCTTGGGCACATTCCCCCCTGCATAGACATACCTAATAGTTCAGCCTGTCCACCCATCTATCTATACTTTATCCCTTTTTGTATATCCCTTATACATTTTTATTTTGAATGGATGGCTTTCATGCATTAATTCAATCACCATGACGCTAAATAATAAGCACTGTGACTTCAAATAGGAATGAGGTGTATTTGAACATTAAGGATTTCAAATCTGGGTTCTCTGTTCTCAAAGCATCTTTGATGGCAGTGCCCTTCCCTGAACTATGCACCAAGGAGATCTTAGATCTCCATGTTGTTCAACCAAATTCATCTGAGCCCCAGCTGGTAATAAAGGGGATATTTGTCTGGTTTTACCCTCTGTTTTGCTCTCTTGCATAACTTTTGATACTCGTAGCCGTCTGGTTGATAATTTGTGGATCCTGGCTACATTTCATCTAGTATATATCTGTTTTATTTTATATGTGTGTGTGTGTGTGTGTGTGTGTATAAAATATAGTTTTGCAGAAACTGATACTCAAAGTATAAACACATATGAAGAGAAATAAGAGTGTGATCTTCCCATACAGTATCTATTAACCCAGGATTGGTTCAACTTGCTATAGGGGACCTTGGGCCTTATAGTTTGAAAGAGCTTATAGCTGAATCTCTAGTAGCTGAATTTTGAGTAACACAAAGAACCAAATTTAACTAAGGGAGAAAAGGAACAAATTCTAGGTGGGAGAAGTAAAGAGTCACAGCTCTCAATAGGTGAAAGAAACTAAACAGATCTATAAGTACCTTGCCTTACTTTAGAGACAGTTCATGTTCTCTGTTGATAACTTGACTTAGCAGTAAGAGTAGGAGCAGTAATGACAGCTAGTGAATAAATGTATACAATAGAAATAAGGCCCAATACAGAAAAGTGAAAACTTTATTCCTGAAGATTCTAATTTGGGTTCAATATTGAACTGTTTTTTATGTTTCTAAGGGTAAATAACTGGTTATAAGACCAGAATGATCTGCCTTTGTTAAATTGTTAAGTAGAAGGATAATTTAAAACAGAGGGATAAAGGGACATTTTCATTATAACAGTATGTCTCTTTAACAATGGTATTATTAGTCTAACTTTCTTCTTAGGATCTCAGCCCCAGGGCCACTGGCTCATTCTCAGTAACTAAAATGATCTGAAGGATATAAGTAGCAAGCTCTCCAGTAAATTGTAGAGGGCTGGTATGCTGTTTACATTAATCTGTATTCTTTACTGACCTAGATCCTTGTAGTGATTTTGCCTTGTCTGAATAAATATTATCTTTCCTAATTATATTTGCCTGCTGTCATGTCTTAATTAGTTTCCAAATAAAAACTAATTGCTAAATCATTTCTTTTTCTTCCTTTCCCCAATTCAAGGTCTATGGTGCCGTTGCTTCAGGTGATATCAAGAGGTTCTCCTATGTCTTTTGAAGATTCTAGTCGAATCATCCCACTCTTTTACCTTTTTAGCTCTTTGTTTAGTCATTCGTTAATTTCCATACATGATAATGAATTCTTCGGTGATCCCATCAAAGGTAAGAATTTTGAGAAATCATTTGTTGGCCCATGGCCTATCAGTTTTCACTGACTAGAAAGGCTTAAGTCTTAAGCTTTCAATGTGTATTAAGAAATGAAAAAAAAAAATTTGATAGAAAATTGGATTATATTTTTCAGTTGTAGGTCAAAGACAATCATCAATGATGCCTTTTACTTTAGAAGAGCTAATAATGTTATCTCGATGCCTTCGAGATGCATGCTTAGGGATCATCAAACTGGCTTATCCGGAAACAAAACCAGAGGTTCGAGAAGAATATGTTCTAGCATTTCAAAGTATTGGAGTTACTACTAATTCTGAAATGCAGCAGTGTATACAGATGGAACAAAAACGATGGATTCAGTTATTTAAGGTATAGAGTATATATATATATTTATATATATACATATACATATATATGTGTGTGTTTGTTTATTGAGGTCATATAATGGGAGCTCTGGTAGCATAGTCCCTAAGGCATTTGACTCCTAACCAGAAGGCTGGCAGTTCAAACCCACCAGCCACTCCTCAGAAGGAAGGTTGGGCAATCTACTTCCAGAGTGATACTGCCTCAGAAACCCAAGGAGGAGTTGCTATGAATCGAGTCCAGCTGAATGGCACACAACAACAACACAATGTTCAAATTTGTTTGGACTCAATTTGTAACAGAAGAAAAGAAATACAGGTTTGTTTCAGTCATTATTTTCTTGGAAAACTTTAACTCATTATTATTTTACGTTCACCTCATTTTAAAAACGTATCTTCATATTATTACATATGTCTTTTATTTAAATATTTTGTGATAAGGTAAAGTATAAATATAAAATTTTAAATTTTTCTATGATTCTTTTCTATTTTTCACTAAAAGAACTTTTAAAGATTTTTTAAATATTTTTGAATTTTTTAAAAAATTGATTAACAAAGGTAGAGTAAGGTCATTAATTTAATGTAAGTTGAATATAAATTATTTCAAAATATCTTCATTTTTAACCATGGCAGGAAGAGAAGTTATGAGTTACCGTGGCTGAAATGTTGGCAGGAAACCACCACCACTGAGAATATAACTACTGTGGTAGAAAAAAAGAAAAGGGAAAGGGTGCTTGACTTCCCATGAAATTTCTGCAGCAAACACATCTAGTCAGCTAAAATTGCTCATTAAAGGAGTGAGAGCAAAAGAAATGCATTTTCCAAATTGAATGCTAGATTTACAGTCTGTTTAATACTAGCGACCTCTCGCACACTAATGTTCAGTTCGAGTCATCAGCTGTCCCTTTAGGTCTTTTATCACTGCTTTTGTCAAGCTATCTATTTAATTGAAAGAAGTTAATTGAATGAAAATGATCAACTAAGCTTGTATTAATATTGCTAATGGAACTTTCTTCTTGGCCATGTTTGGAGAAAGATGTCAAGCTAGACTTTAGGAAAGGCCCATTAATGCTACCACTTAACCTGATGGGCTAATTAAGGAATGCTTATTCATTCTACAAGTCCACAATAGTCTCTATCCAGCCCATTCTGCCTGATTTTACAACACATTTCACTTATGAGCATGAGCATTAGTAGCAGTGAGAGTAACTGATAATGTTTTGATTGCACTGAATACAGTACTAATGCATCATTGAATTTATAATTTCTGCAGATTGGTATAATATATGTTTGCACAATTTATTTTAATTACCTATCTCTGTAGTCCTAAGTAAACTTTAAAGGTCACATTTTGAGACCTCAATATATCCATTCTTAAAGATTGACAGTCTTGCAACTTTTCTAAGTTAAAAATCAGCTATTTCACTGACTTCCTACTTATAGCGCACCTGTCAGAGCCAGAACTCAATGGGGGACAGCCTTGTTCTTCTGGGTCTCAAAGATTTCCACTCTGACAGGGTGTAGTCTTACTGCTTTTCTGTTGCTTTCTATTAGTGGAAAATACTTGAGTTTTTCTTCTCTGATAAGCTTTCACCCAACACAGGTTCCAGCCTTTGCAGGTTTTACTGTATAATTCTTATGTAAGCTTTTCATGGATATGAGTATTATGGTAGCATATGTGTTTTCCATTAAGTATTTAATTAAATTCTAGGAGCCTTGTTAATAAAGCTTTTCATTATGTAGGATATCACATTGTATGTACACTATCAGATAATTTTTGTTTTATAGCACCTTTGAGAGTTTCATAATTTTTATATGACTGATCTTTAGAACCTGGAAATCTCTGAATTTAATAATGCTATTAAAAATGTTTTTCCTTCAGCTTTACTTTGTTTTGCTTAAACATTAAGTGACTATTTTGTTGCAGATTTTTTGTTTAGAAGAGAATTGTTTTGAAGACAAAATTGTACATGATTCCTGTTCTTTGACATAAAAAAGTTTATACTACCTACTATTGAGATGAGTCCTAAAGTTAATTTAAAATTCCAGTTGTAATCTTTGAGTAGAAAAGGAATTAACTGCTATTAGTTTTTCTTTTAAGAAAAAAATTAATGTTGAATAATAAGAACTTAAGACCTGAGTGCTTACTGTGTTCCAGGCAGTATTCTAAGAGCTTGGCATATGTTAATTCATTTAATACTTAACAACAGTCCTGGGCAGAAGATACTGTAGTAATCACCATTTTATAGATGAGGTCACATAGCTAGTAGGTAGTGGAGACAGAATTTGTCCTGCTACTTTACATTATTACTTCTCTGAAAAGTAATAAAATGAAATCTTAACAGCATTTTCTATGTATTGCAATAGTGCCGTATTTGAGTTGAAGAATTCAGTGTAGAATCAACTGATGAAGCTTTAAATATTTTGCCAATGATTTCCTACCTTCCATTTATTTTTGACAGAATTGCAGATGATAAAACCTGACTCCTTCAACCACCAACTATTTTCATTTTCCAATATTATGATGGTCCTCCTGAACTAATTTGTGTGAGAGGTTCTGTTGGCTGATCGCAGACGTAGAATTTTAAGTGGATAGAGTCATCTTTCTTTGTCAGTGTAAGAACTGAGGTCAGTTTCTAAGCCCAGCACTGACACTGCTAAAACAGTTTATGCATTTATCAAATTTATAAACTCCTCTTGAAGTTTAATTTATAGCTGTAATTGCTCTAGCTTTGTAAAGAGACAGAAAATTTAGTTTTGATATTCATTTAGTGTGCAGCTACCAAATTGTTAACAGAAGTTAACTCTAAAACAATGTAATCTGAAGAAATCAGGGAGGCTTTTGTGCCTTCCTTATATATTTTTAGTGATTGAAAAAAAAAAAAGATGGCATTATGAATGATTTTTATTTTCTTAGTAGGTTATTTGTATTTTTCAGTTCCCAAAAGTCTTTTTAAAAAGACTTTAATGATGGGTTGTAATCTGAGTCAATGTTAATCATTTACTGTGAACAAGAGTTGGAAAAATGATGAAAGCAGTGTATCCTAATTTTATTCTTATAGAGTAGTGCTGTATCTTTTTCTTATCTTTGAGGTTGGTTTTGTTTATTTTTACTACTAAAGAAAATGAATACTTTAAGAAGTAATTTTGTAGTATTTTAATTACTTACTTGACAATACTGTTGTCTTTAAAAATATCATTTAATAAGGAATTATTTAGGACTATATAAACTAAAACTTTAAAGTTTTTATTGGGCAAGTTTTTTTCAGAAGTAGACCTGGCCATATTATTCTTCTTCCTAGTCTGTTTTACTCTGGAAGCTCTGTTGAAATCTGTCTACCATGTCAGGTTAGAAAAGGTGGGTGACCTTTTTGGTTTTCAAACTACCAGTGGTGTAGCTTCCAGCATCCTGACAACATGCAGGCCACCACACTATGACAAACTGACAGATGTAAAGAATTGGCCACTGAAAACCTTATGAATAGCAGGGAAACATTATCTGATATAGTGCTAGAAGATGAACCCCTTAAGTTGGAAGGCACTCAAAATAAGATTGCAGAAGAACTGCCTTCCCAAAGTAGAGTCAGCCTTAATAACAGGGATGGAGTAAAGCTTTTGAGACCTTCATTTGTTGTTGTGGCATGACTCGAAATGTGAATAAACAGCTGGAAACATCCATTGATAATCCAAACATGGAATGTACAGAGTATAAATCTAGGAAATATGGAGTTTGTGAAAAATGAAGTAAAACACATAAAGATCAGTATCCTAGGCATTACTTGAGCTGAAATGGACTGTATTCACCATTTTGTATCAGACAATCATATGGTCTGCTGTGCTGGGAATGATAAAGAGGAATGGCATCACATTCATCATCAAAAAGAACATTTCAAGATCTGTTGTGAAGTTCAGTGCTGTCAGTTATACAGTAATATCCATGCACCTATAAGGAAGACTCATAAATACTATATTGTTAATACTATTACTCAAATTTACAGACCAACCGCTAAAACAAAGGTGAAGAAATTGAGGATTTTTACCAACTTCTGCAGTCTGAAATTGACCAAACGTGTATTCAAGATGCATTGATAAGTACTGGTGACTGGAATGCAAAAGTTGGAAACAAAGAGTCGGTAGTTAAGAGATTATGGCCGTGGTACTAGAAATGGCATGGGAGATTGCATGATAGAATTTTGCATAACCAATATGAACACAAATACCTTTTCTAAACAGCATAAACAGCAACTACGCTTATGGACCTCTCCAGATGGAATACACAGGAATCAAATCAACTATATCTGTGGAAAGAGACGATGGAGAAGCTCAATATTGTCACTCAGAACAAGCCCAGGGGGTGACTGTGGAACAGGCTATCATTTGCTCATATGCAAGTACGGGTTGAAGCTGAAGAAAATTAAAATAATTCCACATGAGCCAAAATACTATCTTGATTATATCCCACCTGAATTTAGAGACCATCTCAAGAATAGATTTGATGCTTTTGAACACCATGAGTGAATACCAGACAAGTTGTGGGATGATATCAAGGATATCATACATGAAGAAAGCAAAATGTCATTAAAATGATAGTAAAGGAAGGAAAGTACAAATGGATGTCAGAAGAGACTCTTAAACTTGCTCTTGAATGGAGAGTAGCTAAAGCTAAAGGAAGAAATGTTGAAATAAAAGAGGTGAACAGAAGATTTCAAGGGGCAGCTCAGGAAGACAGAGTCAATTATTATAATGAAATGTGCAAAGACCTGGAATTAGAAAACCAAAAGGAAAGGACACACTTGGCATTTCTCAAGCTGAAAGAACTGAAAAAAAAATTCAAGTTTCGAGTTGCAATATTGAAGAATTCTTTGGGCAAAATATTGAACGATGCAGGGAGCATCAAAAGAAAATGGAAATCCAAGTACACAGTTATTGTACCAAAAAGGATTGGTGAGTATTCAACCATTTCAGGATGTAGCATATGATCAAGAACTGAAAGTATTGAAGGAAGAA